TTCTAAGCAGGACTCGCTGTCTGCGCCGCCGCGGACGTTGTTCACTGAATGACAGAAAAGCTCCTGCCCAACAGCAGCCGCTGTCGGTTTTAGACAACATTTTTGTGCCGGGAATTCGGCCATTTTTTGTGTTCGCTTCGGGCGCCCAAGTTTCGCCAGCTAGGTCAGAACGCACCCCAGACGAGGCCCGTGGAGGAACGGTATGGGTATATCTTTGTCTCCCCCTTGTCCTTCTGTCGCAGGGGGGTGGGACGAGGGGGGACATGGGAGGAGGAGGAGGAGGAGCGAGGAGGGGGGAAAGGTAAAAGTTTCCCGAATGCGACGCGGCTGAAACTGGAAATCCGTCGGCAAAAGACGGCGTTACAGCTGGCCGAACAGTTTATCAAACAAAAATTCTGCACGGGCACTTCGTAAGCATGTACAGTTAAAACAGTGCGGGTGTCAGACGACGAAGCACAGCAAAGACAGTAAGACATGCACTGGTTGACGGGGTCGGGATGGAAGGAGGAGGGAGGAATATCAGGATGCTGTGTCTGCTCGCTATATTCCAGCTGCATGCTGCGGAGGCAAAGCGGCTGCCCAGGTTGGCGAACGGCTTGGGTGGAGTGCAAATTTCGGGTCTGCACCACGCAGCACCAGAAGAACGGTTGCAGGCAACACCGGCACTTGAAACTGCGCAGAAGATGACAACATGAGCCTGCAGCGCAAGAGTTTGTCAGTGATGACCCTTGCATTTGCTGTCCAATGCTGGGAATGCTTACCCCGCAAAGCACTAGCCCCCGTGTTGCAAAAGACGAATTCGTATCTTCTTCCGTGCCGGACGTCTGTGGCCATTTGGGCCAGCAGTTGGGCGTTGCTGCTGGCCCTTGGGCCGGCGCCCTCGACGCCTCGCCGCGGCAGAGTTAGAAGTTCATCTTCCCTGGCGCCCGCCATGCCGTCGCACAGGAAGGCGGGGGGGGGGGGCTGAAGCGGCGGACCGTGGAGGAGGGTCAAAACGCGTGGCAGCGCTCCGTACCACCATTCGGGATGGAAGCCAGGCCGCCAAGTGAAGGATAACCGAGTCGACAGCGCGATGCAACGCTCCGTGCGATCTTCAGGGGCGGGAGCCGAGCCGCCAGGCTGGCAGGGCCCCCCCCTAGTCGACATCATAATCGGGCGAACAGGATCGGCAAAAAGTCCGAGGAGGATGCGTGATGTATGAAATTACCGGCGAAATTGCTCTGACGCCTTTGGTCAAGGATGCCGACGGCACGCGCAACTTCGCTGGTGGCCACGTGGTCGTGATTAGCCTGGTTACGAGGAAGTCCTGTGGGGGAGAGCGCGCCTGGATATCGCTCTCCGTCTTGGCTTACGGGAGCGGCGAAATGCCGTGGTTCTACAACAGCAGTTTTGTCGCCGTGCACGAGTGCGCCGCCGAGGCCATGGGCGGCAGTGCCCCAGGGCGTTCCCCAACATAATTTCGGACCCACTGCGCCCGTGCCGCTACATGCGCGTCAGGTGCCATTGAAAGAGGCGGCCTGGCGAAAGGGGCTACTGGCCCACGCCAGGAACCGACAGCCTGAAGGCCGAATGGGTTTAAATTGAGGGAAGCGCAAAAGGAGGAGTCGCCGTCACTGCAGACCAGGTCCATCGAGAACGCATTAAAAGCGTTATCAGGAAGAACGCGGGCGGCCCTGTGGTGCCGAACGTTCAGATGGCGGAAATCTACCAGGCAGTTCTGAAGGGCGAACGGCTGGGGGCCGCAGCTGACGCAGCTGACTTCACCATCTCCCTTGGTCCTCGTCGGTGGACACAGCCGCATCGTGTGCGTGTGCCTGCGCTGCAAGACGCCCCCCCCGTCGATCCGAAGGAGTGGGTGCGCTGCGCGGTGCCGGCGCGGGTGGGCGAGCCAGGGGGCGCCGCTCCAGGGGCCGTTGGGTGCGCGCGAGCAAGGGGCGCGGCCGCAGGTAGTCAGGGAAGGGCAAGGGCGCGCGGGGGCACCGCGCCATCGTCTTCCCGTCGCGCTCCATCGCCGCAAAGGGAGATGGCCAGCGACAGGGCAGATCGAGGAGTGCGAGGGGCACAGCCCGGAGGGCCAGGCAGAGGTGATCCACTTCGGTCACGGGGCCCTGGGGCAGGAGGGCGCCCCGGCGATCCTGATGGCGGCCAAGCTGACGTCCGCCGTCGACGCCGCGAGAGGGGGCGCATCAACCTGGGCGGGCCGTCGGAGAAAGGCCCGGCGCAGTCGTGGGCGCCGTCTGCTCGCGCCTTCCGCCCGCCCGAGAGCTGCTCCATTCCGGGCGAGGCAGAGCGAGACAGAGCCCCTCCCCTGTTCTTTGACATCTCCGGCATCGCGGGCTCCGGGCCCAAAGCGGGCTGGGAGGAGCGCGCGGCGCGCGGCGGGTCGGCGGGGGGGCCCGCCGCGTCGAGCGGGGTCTGCGGACGGGCGCGCGCGAGGGCGGGGTGCGCGGCGACAACGGCGATGCCCCCTCAGCAGGTGCGGTGCCCCAGAAAGGGGGGG